TTAGAAAATTATTATGCTAATGTTTTTATTACACCTAATATTTAATAGCTTTTTAAACAATTTCACTAAAACACCAAATATTATATAAAAAACAATAATTACTTAAAAGAATAAAACAACATTTTCATATAAAATAATTAAAAAACAACAATCTTGTTGCTAAACTATTATTAAATTTAATCATAGGTTTACTTGAGCTTAAGCTTTTTTTAACCTCTAATAAATTTGATATTAATTTAACAATAAGGTTGTAAAAATTGTTAAAAATTAGTAACTAGTATTTTTTTAATAAAACAAAACAAAAAAATTATTGACTGCTTATAAATTACTTTTTTTTACTTTAATTAAATTATTATTTTTGCAATAAACTTTTATTGTGCACTATTGAAAATATATAAAATTTAAATTAAATAAAAAGAAAATAAATAAATTTAACATAACAAAATAATAAAATAAATAAATGCTTTAAATGTTTACAAGTTTTATAAATAAATAAAAAAGAAATTATTAAATATTAAACAATATAATCAATTAATAACTACTTAAGTAATTGTCTTCAAAAATAATTACACAACAATAATATTAATAAAATGAAAAACAACAACAACAATAATAAAACAAAATACTTAATTTTTTGTATAATAACAAAATTATAATAAAAAAATTTTAACGAAGTTTTATTTTATTCAGAAATTTAATTTGAGCGGAAAGACTACATAAGTCTGTACTAACAGTTTAGATTATTAATAGTCTAGATATAGACTGTAGAATCTATATCTAAACTTTAGAACAATACATAGTCTAGACCAGACTATAGAACAGTCTATAGTCCAGACTATAGAACAGTCTATAGTCCAGACAATAGAACTGTCTATAGTCCTGACTATAGCCCAGACTATGGAACAGTCTTTAGTCCAGACTATAGAACAGTCTGTAGTCCAGACTATAGAACAGTCTATAGTCCAGACTATAGAACAGTCTATAGTCCAGACTATAGAACAGTCTATAGTCCAGACTATAGAACAGTCTATAGTCCAGACTATAGAACAATCTATAGTTCAGACTATAGAACAGTCTATAGTCCAGACTATAGTCCAGTCTATAGTCCAGACTACAGAATAGTCTATAGTCCAGACTATAGAACAGTCTATAGTCCAGACTATAGAACAGTCTATAGTCCAGTCTATAGTCCAGACTATAGTTCAGTCTATAGTCCAGACTATAGTCCAGTCTATAGTCCAAACTATAGTCCAGTCTATAGTCCATACTATAGAACAGTCTATAGAACAGTCTATAGTCCAGACTATAGTCCAGTCTATAGTCCAGACTATAGAATAGTCTATAGTCCAGACTATAGAACAGTCTATAGTCCAGACTATAGAACAGTCTATAGTCCAGACTATAGAACAGTCTATAGTCCAGACTATAGAACAGTCTATAGTCCAGTCTATAGTCCAGACTATAGTTCAGTCTATAGTCCAGACTATAGTTCAGTCTATAGTCCAGACTATAGTCCAGTCTATAGTCCATACTATAGAACAGTCTATAGTCCAGACTATAGAACAGTCTATAGTCCAGACTATAGAACAGTCTATAGTCCAGACTATAGAACAGTCTATAGTCCAGACTATAGAACAGTCTATAGTCCAAACTATAGAATAGTCTATATTCAAGACTATAGAACAGTCTATATTCAAGACTATAGAACAGTCTATAGTCCAAACTATGGAATAGTCTATATTCAAGAATATAGAACAGTCTATAGTCCAGACTATAGAACAGTCTATAGTCCAGACTATAGAAAAGTCTATAGTCCAGACTATAGAAAAGTCTATAGTCCAGACTAGAGAAAAGTCTATAGTCCAGACTATAGAAAAGTCTATAGTCCAGACTATAGAACAGTCTAAAGTCCACACTATAGAACAGTCTATAGTCCATACTATAGAACAGTCTATAGTCCAGACTATAGAAAAGTCTATAGTCAAGACTATAGAACAGTCTATAGCTATAGGTAGACTATAAAACAGTCTATTTGTTATATATTTTTTATGGTTGAAAATAAAAGACAGAATTTATTGATCTATTTTTAGGAATGACGTTTTATTAAAAATTCTTAATGAAATTTACTATAGGTACTAATTTAATAGTATTAAATTTAAATTAATATTTTAAGAAAATAATGAAGTATGTATATAGTTCATTATTTCTTATAAGTAGTTTGCAATATTGGAACATAGTCATCATATTGACACATATAATAATTACCAGCAATAGGATTGCCTAAATTATACTTGGCAATAATATCACGAGTCTTGACATTAAAACGGCCCTCAAAGGATCTACAGAAAGGAACAATTAAAGAAAATATATAACAAAATCTTTTAATTACTTACCCTTTTGGTATAAATTTATCGGTTGTAATTTTTCCCGCTTGTTTAAAAATAAGAAATACATAACGATGTAAATCGGTACCTTCTTCGGGTCCAGAACTCATGTATTCGGCCAAAACTTGCCCCTCGTTAATTCGGTTGCCTGGTATATTAACAACTAGCCAATGTAAAACTTCTCTTAATGTCGGTTCCTTGCGTGAAGGAGGATCTAGATCTGTCATTAAAAGAGTGTATAGTGATCCCTGTTCAGCGTTCCATGTTAGTTGTGGCTGATCTTTAACTTGTTTCGGCTGCAATTCATTGCCCATCTTAACTTTGAGACCACCTGGGAAAGTTACCTCAACAGTAGCTTTTGGTTTAGAGTCTATCATATCGGGTATAATTCCACTAGTATCCATTTTGAAATTGCGTTAGGGGTTTTCACTTGTGTTGATAAACAACTACTGATCAGTGACAATTAATTGTAACAGTATTATATTGTATTGTAAAACTCAATAATAAATTAATTTTTGTTTAATAATTACTATTATTGATAATAAAGTGTGGCCTGAGTGGTTAGTTAACAAGTTCTTATTTCAAACATTTAAGAGTGTTACAGTCTTAACTATTTGTTTAGCAATTATTTTAATATTTAACAATTATTTAAAACAAATATATTTGAGTTTTTCTGTGAAGTGTTCGCTACTTTTTACAAAATTTTTCAAATTCGAACATAAAAATTATTTTGTCTTTTAATTTTGACATTCTTTATCGTTTTAGCAACAACTGCGTATTGATAAACATGACTGTTGTTACAAAATGTTAAGTCACTTCCTCTGTTATTATTTTATTTTTTTGAATGTTAACTATAATTCTGTACAATTTAACAGTTTACAAATTTGTTTAACAGAGATAAGTAATATAATAAATGAGTATGAATATGGAATCACTCAAATATAGAGTAATGACACTATAGCGATTCTATAGACAAGACAATTGACAAGAGTATAGAGCGAATGTACATTGAATCAATGTACAATTTTGTAGTCGACTACGAGAAAAATTCACTTCTAGTTTACTTTTACAGACTACAGTGTAATGCAGAGCTGTCCCGAAATTTTGTATTTGGCAACGTAAAGAACCGACTATACAACTATAATGTAATGCAGAAGTGCCTCAAAATTATCTGGAGCGAATTAATTGTATTTCAACATGTTTTCTATTGTTTCTCTATTATTATGATTTTATTTGTTAACTTTAGTAGACTGACTATAAACGAACAACAATGTAATGCAGAAATGTTCCAAAATTTGGTATTTATTAACGTAAACAACCGACTTTTAAAGACTAGCTACAAGCTAACTATCATATTATGCGGGAGTACCCCAAAATCATATGGAGAGCATTTTGTTTCGACATGTTTTCTCATGTTTCTTTATTATTTGGAATTTTGTTTTACATTTTTGTCATTTTCTTGTATACGTTGTGAAATTAGAGTCAGTAAATTGGAAAAATTAATTATAAAAGGTTAAATATTTCAAAACTCGGTCCCTAAATTCTAAATTCTGTATTCTGTAAATATAATACATTAACAGTTAACATTACACATAACATTTTAAAATTTATTTTAGATTTGGATCAATGGGAATCATGGAAATAATGAACAAATCATTTATAATTTTAGGGATACCGGTGTTATTATTAGTACCCCTGCAGAAAACTGATGTCTATTAATTTTAACGAACTAATATCATAACTTGTATTAAAGCGAAATGTAATTTAGATAACTAGTAGTTAAATTTTAAATATATTTAATTAAAATGTAATTAATTAATACAGTAGGGAATACAAAAGAAAACTATTACTTGACTTTTCTGCAACTAACTTTAAGTTAGTTAATAAAGAGTTACCTTTAAGCTAATTTTTTAGTAACTAACTTTAAGCTAGTTGAAAAGTCATGCAGAGTCGAACAATTGACTACTGCGTAGGACATCGCCATGTTAAAATAGTCAGTTGGCTCCATTAAAAATAATCCAAGATTCAACCATAACTAGTTGATGAAAAAGTCGGCATTTAATGCATTTGAAGTTAGTTGAGTTGCTGGCAGGGTATAAACAAGACTAAAGTCAAACAATTGCTTGTACTTACATAACCACCTAATTTTCAATGAATACTACTTACCGTCTGCATCGATCATGGTAAGTACTTTCCTCCTATGTCATCATCTGTTAAAATAATGAGTTAAAATGCTAATGAAGAAGTAGTAAATAGCAGCTTTTTTAGCTATTTAACTCATTACTTTTCAATGTAAGTTTTTGCTGGATATGTACATAGTATATACATTAGGGTATAACTCTTATAAAATTTCAAATCGGTCCTATACAATTCTATATATAGTACAAAAAAGTAAATTTTTTATAGCGTTAAAAAAGTTTCCGCTGTAAATGTTTTAAAGTTTGCGATATTTACTTTAAACAAAATTTTCAATATTGTATTACAAAGTCGGAATTTTTATATACATGAAAAGCTCTTTGCAATAATTTGGTATGTTACAAAATAAAAATATTGAGAAAAACTATTTTAAAGTTTTGAAGAATTCTAAATTATATGAAATTTGTTCAAGTAGGCCTTTTTAGCGTTTTATTATAAATATTTAGAGGAATTTACTATAAAAATTTAGTATTATGTATTAATTATTATATTTTAAGTAAATGTTTTATTATATACTTTTTTATTACTTATGTATATGTTGCTTGCAATATTGGAACATAGTCATCATATTGGCACATATAATAATTACCAGCTACTGGATTCCCCAATTTATACTGGGTGATAAAATCTCGAGTTTTTACTTTAATACGACCTTCGCGGGTTCTAAAATAGTAAATATGTAAAATAAAATTAAAACTATTTGCATTTTTTCATTACTTACGTTCTTGAAATGAATTTATCACACGTAATTCTTTCCGTTTGTTTAAAAATTAAAAATACATATCGATGCAAATCGGTACCTTCTTGGGGTCCAGAACTCATATAGTCTGCCACTACTTGACCTTCGTTAACTCTATTTTCTGGTATATTGATAACAAACCAATGTAATACTTCTCTTCTTATGGGATTTTTATGTGATGGAGCGTCCGGATCCACCATTAATAGAGTATATAGTGAACCTTGTTCGGCTTTCCAAGATACTTCTGGTTTATCTTTAACTTGTTTAGGTTGCAACTCATTGCCCATGTTAACTTTAAGACCACCGTTGAATGTTATTTCAACCATATCTTTTGGCTCGTTGTCAATTACATCAGGTATAATTCCACAGGAATACATTTTGATGTTTTTACTTAAGTTTAAAGTAAAATACTGGACTATATCAATTTATTGTTTTAATATTTTGTTTCATTTTGTATTATGATATAAATATATCTTTGTGTTGTAATATGTATGTATGTATTTTAGCAAAAAATTAAAACATTTACAATAGTTCTTGATAGATGGAGTGGTTAGCAAGTGTTGTATGTATGTATATTATATTTGTATACCATTTAAGAATATCACTTTATCAACTAGTTCGTTGCATTAAATGCAATCGTAAAATAAAAATCAACTCTTTATTTTTTTCAAAATAATCTCTCACCTATCTATTATTTAGTTCAATTATGTTCTAACTCCAAAAACATTATTTAATAGAAATTATGCAGGTTTGGTAAAAAGAAAACTTTTTATTGAAATTAAAAATAATTATAATTAACAAGATTTATAAATTAATAATACATATTTTTTAAGTATTTATTTTTTGAATTGTGCAGTCAAAATTGGTACATAGTCATCATATTGGGCCTGATAATAATTGCCAGCAATAGGATTACCCAAATTATATTTGGCAATATAATCACGGGTTTTAACGTTCAAACGTCCCTCAAGGGATCTAAATGAAAGAAAGAAAAACAATCAATTTAATACAAAAATAATGTTTTGTTTATCACTTACGTTTTAGGAATAACTTTATCGGTGGAAATTTTTCCTGCTTGTTTGAAAACAAGAAATACGTAACGATGTAGACCAGTACCTTCTGGTGGTCCAGAACCAATGTATTCAGCCACCACTTGACCTTCGCTCACTTTATTGCCGGGTATATTAATAACTAACCAATGTAAGGCTTCTCTATATTTAGGTTCCGCTCTGGAAGGAGCATCAGGATCTACCATTAATAGGGTATAGAGTGAGCCTTCCTCAGCGTCCCATGATACTTCTGGTTGATCTTTAACCTGTTTAGGTTGCAATTCTTTGCCCAAACTAACCTTAACACCATCACTATAAGTCACATGAACTGCAGCTTCTGGTTTAGTGTCAATAATATCGGGAATAATACCACCGGCATCCATGTTTGCTCTGTGTGAGTTGTTTCTTCTAATGCTTTAGTGAAAAAACTGGTCAATTTTGTGCTATAGTATTTTATTTTATTAAATTACTTACCGTCATGATAAATCATTTTTTCAGCATTAATATATAATTCAGCAATATTTTTATAAAAAATAGATAACAATTACTGATAGTAAAGTCTGTGGACAGGTTAGAGTATAACAGTTATGTGTATTAGTTTATCAATTAATTTGTTTGTCCAAAAATTAGATAATTTAAATTATTTTTTGATTAATAGTGTAATTTTTTAATAATTACATACATACATACTTACTTCTAGAAAACTGAACTTCTTATCAGAAATTTTTAAAGAAATTTAGAGGAGACTTTGATCTACATATTTTTTATTTATTCGTATATTTGATTAGTCATAAAAAAATTATATATAGACCAGACAAAAACTGGAGTATAATCTTGACCAAAAATAGTTCTGTCGTTTTTACCATAGACTGTTCTATAGTCTTGACTATAGACTGTTTAATAATCCTTACTATAGTCTGTCTGTTAGTTTTGACTGCAGGATGTTATATAACTTTGACTATATACTAATCTACAGTATTGTATACTGTTCTATTCTTTTGGCTACAGACTGTTCTATGTCTTGACTGTACCTTGTTCTATAGTCTTGGGACAAACTAAATATGTATTCGTGGGAATTGTTTCTGTTCTAAATTTGGACTTGTAAATTTCAGTCAATTATAATTAAACTTCAAAAAAACTAAATCGGTGAAAATCAATAATCAAGACCAGATTCTGTTAGTTGACTATAGACATTTTGTGCTTTTCATATACAATTTTTATAATTTTTTAAAAATGATTTTTACTTTTATTAAATTTATTATTTATTTGAGATCACTAGAACTGATTTATTGAAAAGAAATGGATTACTGAAATCTAACACTATTTTACGATTGCATAAAAGCGTTAATTTGCATCACTAATAAAATGAATAAAATCTCTTACTAATGTTAAGCGCCTTGGCGACACATCAAATTGATTGACTCAAACGGTAAGTTTTTTATTTTGTAAGTAAAAAAACTCACCCGAATATATACATGTGAGTTTTTTTTCATTGACACAATTAAAAAACTTAACGATTGAGTCAAAAAATTTGATGTGTGGCCATGTCGCTTTAAGAAAAAAAGTAAATACAGTTTTCTTCCAGATTGTTTTATTATAAAAGCGCTGAAAGGGCAGCACCAGTAAAATAACTAAAATTTTTATCACTCAAATGTTAAACCTCTTCTTCATGTTATTTTTAACAGATAATAGTAAACAAAGCAATTCTTTTCTCTTCCGTTTAATACTTCTATTGAGCAACCCTGTGTTTGTTTTACGGTTGACAATTTAATAACTCTGTTTTAGTAAACATGTCAATTTAGTTCGCGGTTTTTTTCTTGGTTCGCAAAAATTTGCTAAAAAATAAGGCAAGAGTTAATAATAAAAAAATTATATATTTTAGTGTTAAATGCATATAAAAAATGGCAAATTTTGAAAAAATAAAATGTTTATTTTGAGTTTCATGTGTTTTTTATACGGAAAATGTAGAAATAGCGCGTAAAAATCTTTAATAAAAGAAGAAGAATCAAGCAAATCTTTTATGTGAAATTTTTTTAATAAAGTTAGATAAAAAAAATAGTAGATCTTGCAAAAAATCGTATATGATTTGTAGATGTATAATTAAACAAGTTTAAAGTGAATACCTAGGATTCCATTTGAGAATAATTAGCAAAAAACTCACGAAGACACTCATTAAGAGTGTACCTTGATGGGGTAGAAATAAAAGTTTGGATTTCCTTAAATGTGGAAATATTTGTTAGGAAAACCTTTAACACCTTTCTAGAAACAGTTCCATTCCAACCGTCAGTTCTTTACTAAAAAAAACTTTTAAGATCTCATTAGGACAAACTTTGTGCAGAGACTCATCTGTATTTTTCCAAATGTAGATCTAATTGTCCTGGAACTGCTCCTTAAATAATGTTGATGAATTATTCTAAAATTACTATAAATATATTTTTAAAGATAAAATGTCAAAATTATAATCATTTTTAAGTTAAAAAAGTGATGTGTAAAGTGCCTCAATCAATTCTAATAAGTATAAAAAAAGTGCAATTTATCCACTTGGATTTCATACATCTGCTAAGCCGGAAGGATATTTTTTTATTTCAAAGTGAGTATATAATACTTATAATTTAATATTAAAAAAACTTTAAAATTTCTTAAAACTTTTTATTGCAAACTTTAAAAATTACAATTTTTGCAATGTTAAACATTTTCTTTGAGATTTTTCGGTAACAAAACTTATAAATAATTATTGCATTTCCATGAATATTCAATATCAATACTCAACTAAGATTATTATTCAGTTTCAATTTAATATTATCCGTAGTCCATCTTTTAGTTTGAGCCGTTTTTAAAGCATTGTCACAATAAAACTGTTCCTCTGAACGTTCTGCTAAAGAGTCTCTCAGTAAAGTTAATTGGCCTATATCCTTTAAACCCATTAAAGCATCTATTTCAGCCTTAATGCATTTTACTCGTCTAGCTAAAGTTAATTTATCATTATTGTTAGAGACTTTTGATAAAAACAAATATAATATGGTAGCTGGAGCTTGTAATTCATGCAATCGTAAAATGGCTAAATCCAAAGAAAAACTTATATGGAATTGTTTTTGTTTCATAGGATGCCAGGTGGGTATATGTTCGAAAATATGAGGTAGGTCAGCATAAGCCTGTGCTTGGGTGCGTTCATTTAAGGCACACCACTCAAATTGTCCAGGAGAGATCTGTAAATCTGCCGCAAAATGATAGGGAGAGATAGTTTTTAACATATCCTGTTCCTTCCAATTGTTATATTTGGCACAACAGGCATATAAAACTTCTATAGGACTGGAATCTATATCTATCATATTGTTAAGTGTAGTACGTTCTGTTTCCAATAAATTTAGTAACTTAATATTAGCATGTAGTAATTGGGGATAAAGCAGACTGGATGCTTTATAGTTTTCCATGATTTGTTGTAATTTTTCTTTACGTTCTTTCACTGTATCTGACTGATATATTTCCTTGTAAAGTAATAGCAAAGAATCTTGAGCTTTCCCCAAATCTTTAAGAAGTTTAACAGCTTCTTGGGGATTTTGCTGCTTTAGAAAAGCTAAATAATGCTGTAAAGCCTTCGGTCTTGCTGAAAGTAATGTTAAAAAATCCGATCTATTTAAAGTTCTTTCGAGAAATAACACCACACTTATAATGGCATCACCAGCAGCACCCATATTTAAAACAGCTTCCAAAAGTTGCTGTTTATCATGTAAAGACTTGAACACCTCGAAATTTACCATAACACCTAAAAGTAAACTATTTCATATTACAAGGTCTTTGATAAATACCCTACCACTTACCACTCAATAATTTCTGAGCCGTTGTTGAAGGCGAGGGCGTGTACAAAGTATTCTGTATTTGTCTTCTCAGTATTTTCAATTCTTCTTCCGCACTCAGACCCTTAGGTATTAAACGATCATCCATCGACTGTTCATCCAATATACACTTTAAAGCTTCCTCCGACAGCAAAGATTTTATGGATAAATTTAAAGCTCCTCCAGCGGCACTATTATCAAAACTGGCCTCCGAAATGGTGTCATCGTTTAGTATACCACCAAAATCTGTTGTTAACTCATAGCCGGCTGCTACAGTCTTAAATTCCGTATCATCAGTGTCATCGTCATCAAAATTGAAAGCCTTACTGGCCGAACGATTCCAATAGCTATCATTGTCGAAATTTGTTGCCATTTTATTAAAATTTTATTGTGAAATAAAAACAATAATAGAAATTAAAACAATGTCAAATAATAATTTGTCACCACATCTGCTGTTGTGGGATTTGTTATGACAGCAGCAACAAAATTGTAAACAAAGGTAAAGAAAATGATGTTAAAAGAGAATAGTAGAAAAACAAAGCTAAGTGTTCAGTTAGCTACTTTAATCTTAACAAACATTAGTAAATGGGGAAAAATTATTTTAGGTATTTTAAAGTGTTGGGATTTTGTAATAAACATTGATATCAGTAAAAGTAAAATCAGTTTTTTAAAGGAACTTAGTTTCCAGTTTGATTGGCCAATATATTAATTCATAGAGTATTCCATAAACTAGTCCATAGATGCAATACAGATGTTGGAATCAATAATATATAGTTTCCGATGCCAAAGTTTAGAACTACACGAAAAGTTCGAATTTTCACCAACCAATCTACTAACTAACTAACTAACTAACTATAACTAACTAACTAACTAACTAACTAACTAACTAACTAACTAACTAACTAACTAACTAACTAACTAACTAACTAACTAACTACTAACTAACTAACTAACTAACTAACTAACTAACTAACTACTAACTAACTAACTAACTAACTAACTAACTAACTAACTAACTAACTAACTAACTAACTAACTAACTAACTAACTAACTAACTAACTAACTAACTAACTAACTAACTAACTAACTAACTACTAACTAACTAACTAACTAACTAACTAACTAACTAACTACTAACTAACTAACTACTAACTAACTAACTAACTAACTAACTAACTAACTAACTAACTAACTAACTAACTAACTAACTAACTAACTAACTAACTAACTAACTAACTAACTAACTAACTAACTAACTAACTAACTAACTAACTAACTAACTAACTAACTAACTAACTAACTAACTACTAACTAACTAACTAACTAACTAACTAACTAACTAACTAACTAACTAACTAACTAACTAACTACTAACTAACTAACTAACTAACTAACTAACTAACTAACTAACTAACTAACTAACTAACTAACTAACTAACTAACTAACTAACTAACTAACTAACTAACTAACTAACTAACTAACTAACTAACTAACTAACTAACTAACTAACTAACTAACTAACTAACTAACTAACTAACTAACTAACTAACTAACTAACTAACTAACTAACTAACTAACTAACTAACTAACTAACTAACTAACTAACTAACTAACTAACTAACTAACTAACTAACTAACTAACTAACTAACTAACTAACTAACTAACTAACTAACTAACTAACTAACTAACTAACTAACTAACTAACTAACTAACTAACTAACTAACTAACTAACTAACTAACTAACTAACTAACTAACTAACTAACTAACTAACTAACTAACTAACTAACTAACTAACTAACTAACTAACTAACTAACTAACTAACTAACTAACTAACTAACTACTAACTAACTAACTAACTAACTAACTAACTAACTAACTAACTAACTAACTAACTACTAACTAACTAACTAACTAACTAACTACTAACTAACTAACTAACTAACTAACTAACTAACTAACTAACTAACTAACTAACTAACTAACTAACTAACTAACTAACTAACTAACTAACTAACTAACTACTAACTAACTAACTAACTAACTAACTAACTAACTAACTAACTAACTAACTAACTAACTAACTAACTACTAACTAACTAACTAACTACTAACTAACTAACTAACTAACTAACTAACTAACTAACTAACTACTAACTAACTAACTAACTAACTAACTAACTAACTAACTAACTAACTAACTAACTAACTAACTAACTAACTAACTAACTAACTAACTAACTAACTAACTAACTAACTAACTAACTAACCTAACTACTAACTACTAACTACTAACTAACTAACTAACTAACTAACTAACTAACTAACTAACTAACTAACTAACTAACTAACTAACTAACTAACTAACTAACTAACTAACTAACTACTACTAACTAACTAACTAACTAACTAACTAACTAACTAACTAACTACTAACTAACTACTAACTAACTAACTAACTAACTAACTAACTAACTAACTAACTAACTAACTAACTAACTAACTAACTAACTAACTAACTAACTAACTAACTAACTAACTACTAACTAACTACTAACTAACTAACTAACTAACTAACTAACTAACTAACTAACTAACTAACTAACTAACTAACTAACTAACTACTAACTAACTAACTAACTAACTAACTAACTAACTAACTAACTACTAACTAACTAACTAACTACTAACTAACTAACTAACTAACTAACTAACTAACTAACTAACTAACTAACTAACTAACTAACTAACTAACTAACTAACTAACTAACTAACTAACTAACTAACTAACTAACTAACTAACTAACTACTAACTACTAACTAACTAACTAACTAACTGACTAACTAACTAACTAACTAACTAACTAACTAACTAACTAACTAACTAACTAACTAACTAACTAACTAACTAACTAACTACCTAACTAACTAACTAACTAACTAACTAACTAACTAACTAACTAACTAACTAACTAACTAACTAACTAACTAAATAACTAAACTAACTAACTAACTAATTTGTGTAGATAATATTCAAATTTTACTCAAACAACTTTGTCATGTATATAAACATTTGGGAAATAATAAAAAACTCGTGTTCCTGGGAAAGTATTAGTGCTACATTTCTAAAATTTTGCAAGAATAACTCTGGCGATCAAGTAACACTTGGAGAAAATAGGATGAATTTGCAAACTGAGAAATTATTACTTTAAAATTTTGCATGGAAGGCATTAAAATCAATATTAACATTTGGAGAACATGAAATAAATTCACAGTGCATACCGCCCTAAAAAAATGATGTATGGATCATATATGGATTCATATATGAAGCATATATTTTCATATATGTTCATAGCCGAAAATTGGCGGAATTGGGCATAATCTTCATATATTTTCATATATTTCCATATATATTCGTATATTTCCATATATATCCATATATGGAAAATTTTTTCATATATGATTCCATATAAATATGTATGTGTCCATATATTACATGATCATATTTAGCTTGTGTAAATAAAAACAAAAGAGCTTTTTGCCGATCCCGGTTTTAAATAAAACTTCACAATATTATAGATTTTCATTTTGTTTTGAATTAATAGTTTATTTATAATTTAAATAAATTGTTTTTTTTTATTATTATTATAATTAGTTAATTGTACTTATAAATAATGTAAAAAAATATCAAATTTTCAAAAATAGTTTTAATATTTTTCTGACTTTTTTTCTTATAAATTGAGAAACAAAACTAGTTATGCAGCAATTAAATATTTTGTTTTTTTGTTGTGAGCATCTTACAATTATTATTCATATTAATTAATATTATTTGTTATTATTATTATTATTGTTTGTCTTTTAATAAAGCACCAAATTATTATTAAATATACATATGTAACCTACATACTTATAGTTATTATTCTGTTTGTTCTTATAACTTTTAAGTTAAATTATATGCAAAAAGGTAAAGCTTAAAACCCAAAATTAAATAGATTAATTAATTGTCTTTTTGTTTTAACTAGGCGAATACAAGTACAAAATCCAATTCTATTGGTTAAAAAAAAGTGTAGAGCATTCGTTACGAATTTCTGTTATTTTATGTACAAATGTTATAATTGTGTTTTTGCTTTAAAGTCTAATAATACAGAAAGGCAGTACATTATTATTATGATCATTATCATTATTATGTATGTACCCTATAGTATTTACTATTAGTTGTATTATTTGTTTATAAACTAATTTTACTTTGTTAATCATTCATTTAAACCGCCTTCATTCCATTTCTGTGTAGAATGTGTTACTGGCTCGGTTATTGAAAGTAAATCGGCATTTGAACTCGTTGTCGGTAGTGTTGAGCCGGTAGTGCCCACTGCTTGCGTAACATTCTGGGCATCCGCTGTACTTACTGCAGGATTTCCTATAATTGCTGCTGCCACCACCGGCACTATTGTGGTGGGTACATTTTCACCACCCGGTGCCGTACTTATTTGTCGAGCAAATTTCTGCTTTTGTCTTTCCAAACGTTCCTTTTCACGTTCGGCTTTGAGTTTTTCAAAATCATCTTTTTCCACATCGGCATTAGCGGCCGCTATTAGATCATGTGTTGAGCGCATTTCCATATCTTCCACTAGGCGTAGGAGAGAAAAAAAGAAGAGAAAAAATTAATATTAAAATGGATCTATTAAAGGGGTTATTAAATGGTTTCAAAACAATAGCTCTAATTAGTTCGAGTAGTAGATAAATAATGCAACAGTTGAAAATACATACATAGGAGATTTAAATAAAGTTCAAAGGTTACATTTTATACTCAAAGTTTTAATTGTTATAGAATTTGAGAATTATAATTATCACTAAAAATGACAAACTATTAATATTTTGGAAATATATATTTGAAGTCAAAAGAATTCTAAATATATTGGGTTCAAAAATATATAATAAAATTATCGATTTGGTGCAGATTTTTTTTCTTAATAGGGTGCTTATACGACATCGAAAAAAAAAACTTAATAGATTTTCCAAATTTAATGTTAAATTTTTCCAAATATCTTAACTTTCAGTTATTAAATTTGGGGTAAAATATACTATACAACGATTTAAAAAGTCATATATATATATATATATATATATATATATATATATATATATATATATATATATATATATATATATATATATAAATTCTTGTTAATGTCAAAAGCTTTAACCAATTTTGTCACAAATCCTGAGACCTAGTTTTGGGTTCTACGTCGTCACCAAGACTCTTCAAGACTCTTTGCTTAAAGGAAGGACGTTTTAATGATTTTCATCTGTTCTTACATCTGGGAGTTTTAATTAGCTTTCGAAGTTCCCAAAGAATATAAGGAATTGTATTGCACCATGACATATGAATTATAAAAGTAAAATTTTTTGTACTTTTAGGTGGTTAGGTGGCCTCCTGTAAGTTACTGGTTAGTTCTAGTCTGGTAGACCGAAGGTGATGGGTTCGATTCCCACCTGAGGCAATGGTTAAGGAGCGCACAACAGGCCCGATAGAGGTCTAGGTGTTTTTCTTCGGATTAGATGTACACACATAATCCTTTCAAACTTTTACTAAAAGTTCAATTAAAAAATACGATTTTTCACCAAAAAAAAAAATAAATACATATTTATTCGAAATCGGTATTTGAAAAATCCGATTTTCATCAACAGAATTCAATTTTAACCAAAAAACGAATTCAGTTTCGTAAGAAAATAAAAACAATTTCAACATCACTCTGTTTGCATTTACCTGGGCATTGAAAACGTAACACCAGCATCATGGGTACCAAAGAGCTTTGAAGCAATGCATCGATCGGCAAAAATGAAATTGCGTGAAAAGGACAAGTGTAACAACATAATGAATTTTGAAATGTAAAACAGTGTCTAACGGAATGTATTTACAAAAAGATCTCAAACAGTGTGACAACATTAAAACACAACAAATAGCAAAGGATTAATTAATATCAAGGTCCGACTTTTGACAATAAACTAATGAGAATATTTTACGTTTAAACGTTGTAATTGTTAAAAAAATCGCATCATTTTCATATTTCTAGGCTGTAAATGGTCAATTTATACCAAATTCAAATTCTTTGTTTCATTTACAAATGTAATCTTCCAGAAATGTTCTTTTAAATAGACCTAGACATAACAAGAAAGAAAGTATTGTCGGGCGTGGCCGACCATATGATACCCTACACCAGTTATGAATATTATATGTGATTTTTTTTTTTCATAATAAAGCATTTATCTTCAATATTCCTTTGTTCCGATACATTTAAGCAATTTATGGATGAAAAACTAATTTTCTGAAAGAGGCTTTATATGGGGGCTAGGGGCAAATATGGACCAAGCCCAATAAAATTTTGTGAATATATTTATATTTACATAATATTTTATTGTGCTGAATTTCATCGCGATATTTGTGTTTATAAGTTAATATGGGACATTCAAGTAATTTTCTGAAGGGGACTTTGTGTGGGAGCTAGGGTCAAATGGGGCCCGATCTTTATGAAATTTGGCAGGATCATCAAGACTTCTATAAAACTTAGTTGTGCCGTATTTTATCGATATATCTGTATATTTATCATAATTATGAGCTCAGAAGCCCTTTTCGGGGGCTTCTGTTCTATGGGGGCTAGGTGAAATAATGGATGGCTTAATCGACTCAGAAAACGATTCTAAGCCGATTGGTATACTTTAAGGCTAGGGCTAGGTGAAATAATGGATGGCTTAATCGACTCAGAAAACGATTCTAAGCCGATTGGTATACTTTAAGGTGGGTCTAGGACGAATATTTTTGTATGTTACAAACATCAGCACAAATCCAATATACAATCCCCACTAAAGTGGTGTTGGGTATAAAAATTGGATATTGTTCACATCGAATTCTTTATGAAACGAAATATGCATGTGTCGCACTCTCTCTCTCTTGGTAATATTGATATAGATGATCTTAAGCGATCATATGGTAAGATCATCAAATTAAAGCTATTTCGGTTAGTAAAAGCTAATTTAAATAAAAACTTTCTTCATAAGTAGCGCCAGTATTAAATACATATTATAAAAACTTTTAATAATTACTTACTACATTAACTAAACTCATTAACTAAATTCTTAATACTACTCTTAACTAGAATCTTTAAACGAAATTCTTCTAAAGAAAGATCTTATAACATACATTAAATCATAACATGCCAAATAACAAACGGACAAACTAAAATAACAACAAAAACAATTCAAATGTAAAACAAACAAAAAACCAACAAATTATGGAAAACGAAAACAAAAAGGAAAAAATTTGTTTGCTTTTTTTTAAACTTTACCAGTTGATAAGAACCACCTGAATTGGTGCGGAGCATCTGTACGTTCTATTAGTGGTGATTTAGAAAATATTAATTTCCTGTGACACACATTATGCTTTTTTCAGCATAAAGCTGAAACTTACCTGTTTCACGGCTGCCACGTTCTTTATTGTCACGATCGTATAGTGACTTTGTGCTTTCCCTGGTAGGTGAACTAGGTACAGTGCGGGCCATGGTCGGACTTCCGGCCGATGGGGCAGATGTACTCAGCAGTGCTTCTACCCCGCCGGCAGGAAATAGACTAGGCTCAACAGTTGACTGTGTGCGCATGTATAGTTTATTTTTCATGGGTATATCCATGGGATCTGTAGGATATTGTTGTTGTTGTTGTTTATTTAAGCTCACCGATGAACCGGAATTTTGTGCAAAAATATCTCGAACATTGGGACGATTATCATTAGCACGCTGTGAAGTGATGGTGGTTTGTTCATCGACTTCTTCGATGACCTGATCGGTGATGCGCATGCTGCCAACTGGTTTTGAACCGGCTGGAGGTGCTAAGCTATTAGAACTAGCACTGCCGGGAAAACGATATTTGGGATTCTCATCATTGGGTGTTAAGGAACCGGGGCGACTATCCTCTCGATTGAGGAAACGTTTGAGTGCTGAGGCTACGGTATTGACACGAGACAAGGTACCACTAAGACTCACTAAACTTGGTGATGAGCCTTGTCTCGTTTTGCCATTACCGGCTGTGAAATGTATGCCACTGGCATCATCAGCCTGTGGAAGTGAATGTGGATTGAAAATTAGAAAATAAATATATTAGATTTTTTGAAGTAATAAAGTTATATGGCTTTGTTAAGTAAAAGCAGCAGCGGTAATTCAAAATTATTTTGTTTCTTTTCCAAAATTGTTGGATATTTTATATTTAATATGATAATAGGTTTATAATGGTTTTAACGATGAATCTAGTCCCTAAAAATATTCTTTTTTTTTTTAAATTACTCTCAAAATATTTCGGTCTAAAGTCCTCCGATGGAAATTTCACTCTGTAGTTGAAGTTATGCCTTAAACTTAGGGCCATTAGATGTCAAAAACAGAGTTTTACCTATCTATAGCAAGTTTTGTCTTGTTTGACACTGATCTTCTCTGAGAAGCCTTAAAAAAAACTATAGCTTCCCGATTGGGGAAAAAACGACTACAGAATAGTTTCCCAATTAGAAATGAAGATCAACAGCATAAATCAGTAGATATATCTAGGTTTATCATCGATCGGTAATCGTTTTACATATGAGTATTGAACAATGACATAAATCAGCATAGATGCTCGCTGATCTCTTTTATATCTTCTATATAGCTATCGAAGGTCTGCAAATTAAGATTGCAATTCGGCTTAAAGCTGATGATGCAAATTTCGCATTGGTGTAACTAATAAAAAAAGTTCTTGAACTTTTATCGGTCTTCGCACTTCGTCCATAGTTCGTGCCTACGGCGAATTTTAAATGTTATATTGTTACTCTCTTCTTAAAAGGTCATTTTCTCCCAGTCATTCTTCTGTGGCTGAAGGTGCAATGAAAATTAGTCTCCAATGTCCAAAATGTTCTCTATGAATTTCGCAGTAGTGTAACAGATAAAGCGGGAAAAGTACTTCAACTTTGATCGGCTTTCGATATTGACCAGTCGTCCACAATTCGTGACCACAGCGAATTTCGAATGTTACTCGTTGCCCGCTTCTTAAGAGATCATTTCTCTCTCAATTGTCTTTCTGAAAAAAATTATCACTGACGCTGTAAAAATAAGTCTTCGGGGTCCAAAAGTTCTCAAACAAAAAAAAGAGCATCATAAATGCTCATTGCTCTCCTAATCATCCTTCTGAAACAATTAGCACTGTGCTGCAAACAAGTCTTCAATTTTGGTCCAAATACTCCTAATAATTTGACCTCAGTAGCACATTAGTGACAAATTAAAGGACGTTCTCCCTTCAGAGGTCGAACAACCCACCGAAGCAAAAAGTTCTCTAATAAGATATCGAAGAATTTCATAAAAACATATTTCTTTCTCAATTATGCTTCTGAAAAATAAGTTTAAAATTTTGGTCCAATTGCTCTTTAAGAAAAGAGCATTTTAGTTACAAATTAAAGAACTTTCTCTAAGAACATATCGAAGAGTTTCTTAATAGCTCACTGCTCTCCCAATTATCATTCTGAAAAAAACTAATTGTGGCTGAAGATGCTGTGAAATAAGACTTGAACTTTGGTCCACATGCTCCATATGACACCCACCCTTATCGAATTTGGTGACAAATTAAAGGGTGGTTCTTCTTTTAGAGGTAGAACAAATCACCAAATCTGGAAGTTCTCAGATAAAATATCAAAGGGTAATAGAACTTATCAACCGAAGTTTTGATTTAAACGGAATATGTGTTGATTTTATGTGTTAGAAGTGATACTTAAGAGGAGGATAAGCGTTCATTTTATCGGATCTAATTCATAATAAATGATTCATGCTTTACAAAAATTGTTCATATTCCGAATATCTCAAACTAAAATTAAATAACATTCAAATCCCGAGATCAAAAGAGAAAAATATCTTCCGCGAAACATAATTTTGAATTATCGCTACAAGAAAAGATTATATAAAAGTAAAAGTATATAATATAATAGAAGATTATATAGATTTTAAGGTAGTTACAATTGTGCAGTGCAGATGCATATGTTTTTTAGAAGTAGGTAGTTACAACGTGCCAGTTTTTATCAAGCTGCGTGAAGTCTTCAAAGCATTATTCTTATAATAAAATATTTCTTATATCGGTTACAGAAGAAACAATTAGAATCAATGGTTAGTAGAGATTTAGTTGATGTTTTCCAATTAAAAAATCAAGAGCATCTAAAACTCTTATTTTCCAAAAAGAAGTTGTTTGTTAATCACATTATTAATAATTATGAATAATAAATCATTAGTAAATTTTAAATAATTAATTAGTTATACCATATTAACCGCCTTAAAACTAATAACATTTATTTAGTAGATTTTAAATTTGAGATTTGAAAAAAAATGTATTACATGTAAAATATTAGACAATTATTGTTGAATGAATAAAGTGCCAATATCAAACCAATCACCTTTTTTAAGAAGGGAAATTAGGGGGTGTTAAGGGAAAACAAATTTGTTAAAAATTAATTATATTGAATTTAAATTGTTTTTTTTTTTTTGTTAAGCATAACAGACACTTAATAGTCTCGCTAATTTTGAAGGACCATTTTTGATTCTAACCTCCTCTTCTATGTTATCGGGGAATTTATAGCTAACTGCCTGCACATTTGGAGTGTTTGGTTTAGATTCGGAACTAGTACCAACCATATCATCAATGCGAACACTAGACATAACGGTTGGCATGGCAGCATTCTTAGACACTTCAATTTTAGCTGTTGAGGGTTCGGGATGTTCTTCGCGGAAACGTTCCGAAGCTATAGTATAGGGTAGTTCATTGGGAAATACCTCATCCCAATATTGATCTTTGATCAGTTCCGGATGTTCATGATGCATTTCGTCCACAATCAAGTAAGAGACTTGTAAGTTACGATCCACCATCCAATTCACCTTTAGTTTACAAATTATAAAATTTATTATTTAAATAAAAAGAATGTCATGGCTCACCTCAAAATCATCATCATCTTCTCCAAAGGGATTTATTAAAGATTCAGCCACTTTAAGCCATCCCATGTAAAAGAAAAATTGTAACGTTGTAAAGACTGGAAAATATAAATCAATTTTATTTTCATGACTGCTATTGGCCACAGTTTTGCCCATGGTCCATTGTTGGCCCATAACAGAACACAAGAAAAATGAATACACAGCCAATGTCACCACCTGAGTGTATACTAAAGGCACACTGATGGTATCGTAGGATATTAACAGACCACATTGTCCTCTAAACTTATTCAATTCATCAATTATAGTCTTGACAGCAAAATCATCACGTATACGACCTTCCTTACGTGCTCTGGTAATAATACTAGTAGCCCATACTATGGGCAGCCAATGTTTCGAATGACGTGGAAATCCTTTATTCATACTCTCTATAATTTCCTTTTCATTTTCATTTAACAAACCAGCCTCCACAAAGTTACTGAGATTGGGAAACCGTTTCTTAACACGCGGTGATATATTGGTCATTACCATGGTCAGACATAGGCAAACATAACGCATTATTGTACGTCGCATTACACGACCTCTTTCGTCTTGACCATGAACATTTGCACTAACAAACACTGCTATGGGATCGGGCCAAGGTATACTGGTGTATTGACCCCACCATCTGGTCATCACAATGGATACATAGAAACCCAAAACAAAGGATAGAGGTATGAGATCACTATAATTATAGCAGTATTGAACAACAGCCTCAAATTGCCTGAAAAGGTTTAGGATAGAAGAGATTGGTTTGTTGCTGGTTTGATGCGATGTTTAGGTTAAATACTTACACTTTTTGATCCTCATTGAGTACAAACCGATACATAATATTAAGAAAATAGTAAAGGAGTAGAAAAGCTAATAAGTCCAGCCATACCAGCTTATAAATACTACCGCGCCATCTAGATATAAAGAGAGAATATATTGTTTGGTTAGTTTTCTAGCAAATCAAAGAAATTTTGGTTGAAAAATTGTATACAGAACTATAGATATAGAAAAATCTTAAGCCTTGCTCAAATAGTTGTATTCTTTTGAAAGCCATTTTGAAAATATTTCGGTTTTTACGAAATGATCATATGATGATCTGTGATAAGACTGTTATCAAAAAATTGTGGTTATTTTGGCATAGAATGTTACTGATCGTGATCATATTATAGATAATGAGTGATTTGAAACCGTTCTGGTTTAGAAATCAATCTGATAATGATTTATTGGGGATATTGGATTAAGTAAAGTAATGGAGTTTATGGTACCAAAGGTTTTTAGCTTTACGGAGTATTAAGGTCGTGCACTTGGTCTATTGACTAATTTACTGACTTATCGATTGACTGGTCCAAGGAATAGTCCATTGACAAGTAAGTCCAAGCACCTGTCCATTGACTAGTATATGGATCAGTTTATTGACTAGTCTAGGGACTACACAATTCACAATTCGTCTATAATTTAGTCTGTTGAGTAGTGTATGGTATGTTGAGTAGCCTTTGGATTTGTCCATGGATTGGTCTAGAGAGTTTGAGAACTAGTCTATAGACCAATTTAGTCAATAGTTTTGTCCGTTGACAAACTTTATTGACTTGTCTATGGACCAGTCAATAGACTATTCCATAAAATCATCTATGGTCCAGTCTATTGACTCTGATCTATTAAATGGACTAATCTATAAAATCATCTGTGGTCTAGTCTGTTGATTAGAATTGATATATAGACTCTGATATTGTCAATTTTGTGGGTTAGTAAATGTATAGATTGCAAGATCACTTCTTGATTCGAACATTATACTACAACTAAAGTCTAGTGAATTGGCAGAGATCAACAGATTATAACAACATTTGACTGAATTAATAGATGGATCATAATAAAGACTGTGTGTTGTTGTCGACACTTTATGTTATGTTCGTTTGTATTAAACATAAAAAGACTTGTTTTAATATATATAAGAATAAAAGGTGTTTATTATTTGAAAGCTACTAATCGAATAATACATATTATAAAGTAAAATTACCACTAACCGTTAGAAACAATGTTTGTATTTTATGAAAGATGTGTATAAAGAAAAGATGATAAATACAATAAAACTGTCATCTGGTGGAAGGGTTACCAACCACAACATCTCCCTCTTTAAGTTGTAAAATCTCTAAACCAATTCGGCTCCCGTCTATTGCGATGCGATCGACGAAGTGCTTGGTCAGAATGTTCAGGAAGAACTATTTCCTGATTGTTTACTTCTTCAGTTGCTTGTGGCACATATGCTGTCATATCCTGTGTCATTGCTGATGAAGGGCGTTGCTCAGATGTTGTAACTGGTGAAGCAGAGTAACGACCAGGGGCCAGGGTTATATTTTCTGAAGTAGGTGTACGTTCACTATTCGAGCTTGATGTATTTTTATTGGGTGCACTGAGATCAAAAACATCTAAAAACGAATTAATACTTGTTGAATTGCTGTGACGTAAACGCAATTGATTTGCGTGCAACTTCATCGATTTAAAATATGGGAAGGTAACAATCTCCACTTCATAATTAACGTTTCCAATACGATTTTTAATAATTCCAGGAGCCCAAAAGTATTTATTCAGTTTGTATACTTTGGCATAAACTTCACTTCCAACGTTAAATTGGCGATCTTTAGCATTGTATTTACGATTATATTGCAATGCCATTTTGTCATTGTAATGACTAGAAACTTGTTTTGGTTTTAGAATCAAATCCATGTTGATTCTTACCTTCCTCCCCAAAAAAAGTTCCGATGGTGATTTGTTTTGGAATGCATTATCGTTGTTTGTAGCACGATAGGCGTGTAAAAAATCACGGATTCCATTAATTAAATTTGATGAACTTTGTTTCTTAAGCGCCCGCTTAAAAGTGTCCACAAAACGTTCCACTTGTCCATTAGATTGTGGGTGGAATGGAGCAGTACGTAAGTGTTCAATACCACGTACCCTGCAGAAATCCAAAAATTCTTGTGAGGTAAATTGTGTTCCATTGTCACTCACCAATGTTTCAGGCCATCCGAAATGTGAGAAAAAATCGTTAAGACAATCGATAACTGCTGCTGACGTCATCGATTTCAGAGGGTAAACTTCCGGCCATTTGGAAAACGAATCCACCACCAATAAATACGTCTTCTGCTCCACAGGACCTGCCAGATCAATGTGTATACGTTGCATTGGCCTTTGTGCAGTAGGCCAGGGATGAAGATTTGCTCTTGGTGGAGCTTTTGCTGTGGATGCACAGGCTGTGCATTGACGTACTAACATTTCCACATCTTTGTCTATGTTTGGCCAATAGACATAGCTTCGGGCTAGAGCTTTCGTACGAACTATACCTTGGTGACCTTTGTGTAACTGATTAAGTACACGTTGGCGTAGACTTTTTGGAACCACAATTCTATGTTGATAGAGAAGACAATCATCAATAACGCATAATCCATCTTTACGGAAAAAAAATAGCATCTCTTCTTCAGACTTTGCGTGCGGCCAAGAACTTTTGATGTATTTTATTACGTTTTGTATTGTTTCATCTTTTTGAGTGGCTGAGCGTACCATATTGTATGTTATGGGTAAAACATCGATGTTATTTTGAACCAAATATTTCACTTCTGCTTCCAGTGTTGCACAAGCAATTATTACGTCTTCTTCGAGTTTTTGTTTATTGTTTATGAGTCGCGACAAAACATCTGCGCAACCAAATTGTTGTGTGGGGACGTAACTTAAATCAAAATCATATGACATTAAAGTTAAAGCCCAGCGCTGTAACCGGCTAGCTGTGTGTGTTGCTATACCTTTCTTACTGCCAAAAATAGCCAATAGAGGCTTATGATCGGTTTCCAGCTTAAAACGACGGCCATACAGCATTTTATGGAATTTTTTTACTGCAAATACGAGTGCCAAACCTTCTTTTTCAATTTGTGAATAGTTGCGCTCTGCCGGTGTCAATGACCTCGCAACGTGGTATACAGCTTTCTCAGTACCATCAGGGAATTCGTGGCAAATGTAAGCACCAATGCCCACATTGGAGGCATCTGCAGCCACCTTAATTGGAAGACTTGGATTGTAGTGCGTAAGCATAAGGTCAGAAGACAAAATCTCCTTAAACTGTTGAAAAGCTTCATCACAAGGCTTAGTCCATTTCCATTCAGAATCACGTTTTAAAAGTTCGTCTAATGGTGCTCTTAACTGTCGCATTTTGCGAATAAATTTGCCATAGTAGTTCACTGCACCCAAAAATGACCGCAGCTCTGTGATATTTGTTGGAGCTGGCATTTTTAAAATGGATGAAATTTTACCTGGATCAGGTTTGATGCCGGTCCCATCGACTTTATATCCAAGGTAGGTGCAGCTACGAGAAAAAAAACTACATTTATCAAAATTTACAGTCAAATTATACCTTTCAAAACGTGAAAACACTTCATAGACTGCTTTTTTATTTTGTTCCATTGACGGCGTTGCTATGATGACGTCATCGAGATACGGATAGGCATATTGAACACCAGATAGAATTGTATCAATTGCCTGTTGAAACGCGCCAGGAGCGGACTTGACCCCAGGTGCAAGTCGGTTGAATGTAAAAAGACCTCTGTGTGTATTGATGGTGAGCATCTCTTTTGTAGAATCGTCTACCTCAATTTGCATGTATGCGTCAGTTAAATCTATCCTTGTGAAGATTTTGCAGTTGTTGAAGTTAACAAAAATATCATCAGGCAATGGAAGTGGATAGGTGTGTATTTCCATGCATTCGTTTAAACCGGTAGAATAATCACCGCATAACCGAACTTTCCCGTTAGCCCTTTTAACAACAACAATAGGTGCAGCCCATCTGGAGTAATTTACAGGTGTAATGATATTGGCCTGTTCCAGTCGTTGAAGTTCATCATCTACTTGTTGGACTGCTGCATAAGCCACCGGTCGTTTTGGTTTAAATACTGGTTTGGCATCGACCTTCACTTTTAAATTTACTTTGAAAGTAGAACAATGTCCGGGCTGCATGGCGAAAACTTTCGGAAATTTATTTTTGATTTCCTGCACTTCCGAAACACTGATGTTGTTGCAAATTGATTCGATTGGATAACTCCAAATACCAAGTTGGTCCATTACATCTGCACCCATAATATTCAAATGGTTGAGGCTTGTCACGAAAAGTGTTGCTATTATTAGCTTTTCTTTAAACATTACCTCTGCTTTACACTGTCCAATTAGCTTGAGAACATTACCTGATGCGTCTCTTGGTGTTTGAGATGGTTGTGTGAGGTTAGGTTTGTTTATTTTCGACCACATAGTTTTTGATATTATTGTGATGTCTGCGCCAGTATCAAACTGCAAACGTTGTTTTACGCCGTTAATTTTAACGTTGATGTGTTTTCTGTTTGCAGCGACGCTGTTTACGGCATGTAAATTCGCTTTAAATTTTGCATTATTTTTTTTATATTTCTTGTCGTTTTGTTGTGTGCGTTGTGAAGAGAAACTTGAACAATATCCCTCTTTGTGGCCGATTACTCCGCATTGTTCACACAAGTGCTTAGTGTATGTGCAATTTTTAACGAAGTGCATCGCGCCACACTGCCAACAAGGCCTTTTCGGTTTTTCACTTGGATTGTGCTTTTCTCTTAATTTACCTTTGTGCTCTTTTGATTTTACGGCATGTACTTTTTGTTCAACAATGGCGGCATCTTCTGCGCTTTGCAAGCCACGAAGAAACATCAGACACTTAAAATGGTTTTCCTTTAGTTTGCCAAACTCAAAATTATCGCAATTACGATTTACCATAGCACCATATGTAACAAAGTCGATACCACAACTTTTAGTAAATTGAAGACAATTTATTCGTGCACTAAAAAGAGACTCTTTTCTTCCAAAAATAGTTTTCAATGTAGAAACTGTCTCTCTGAAATCCAAATCACGAGGCACT